TACACTGTTTGTTTGCGCGCGGTTAGGCCAATTGGTATTACAGCAACAGACGGAGCAGACAAAAAAATGAGAAGTTGCCTCTTGGCGTGCTGCAGCAAAAGGAAGAAGAGCATCTCTGTGCATTGATGCTGATGGTGAGTGAGTACATGGAAAAGAGAGCCAGTGAGGGGAAAGAAGTGAGGGGTTGGAGCTGTTGGCAGGCACTGAATGTCCAACTCCCTCACATCATCCTCCATCACACTCTGTGTATCCTCACATACTCTCTGCTCACAGGATGTGGAGCTTCTTTTCTCTCTGCATTGGAAATGAAGTGGCAAGCGGTGCAATGGCCCCCATGTGGTCTTGCGTGACAAGTCATCCCAGCATTTCATCAGGGAATTGGATTCTCTTTGCGTCAAATACGGTTGAACTTCAATTGACCTAAATTATTTACTTATTAGCCCATTCTTTCCTATTACTTTAATGGATGACCATCACTGAAAACAAAATCAAATGTGTTCAAACTGACTTGAGCCCTGCATTTGTTTGAATTAATCCAGGCCATCGACACAGGGATCCAGCAAAATAATGCAAGCAAACAAAGTCGAACCAGGCTGAACTTTTGCTGCAATGTCACATCATCCTTTGACCAATCAAATACCTGCAAGTGTACATTCCTGGTGGATTACTTTGTAACGCGAACGGCGTATTTCTACAGCTTACCAGACGACCGTTGTGACAAATACAAGGAAAAATAGTTGCAACACAAGCATGCACTTGATTGTTGCATCATGTTTGATGAGGCTGTATCGTGCTTTGAATGTTACTGCTGAATATGGGACTATTCTGTTCGGTCACTGTATTGCTCACCGTGAGCTGAAAGTTTGGTTTTAGAAGGGAAAAACTCATCAAACAAGAAGAAGAGAGCAACCAGCGCTGCCTTAACCTGAACCAGTCAAATACACTTCCTTTTCTAACCAGTTTTTGGAGTGTTACAACACATCATTTGATTATTTGTGAGCTGTCAGCTTGTTGTCCTTGATATTTCTAGATTTCCACCTGGTAGGAATCAAAGGTTTTTGCTATTGTGCATAATGGACTGGATTTGTGTTGAGCACAGTTCTCACTTTCTGGCAGGCCCTGTAGTCTGTTGTCTTTTTGTGCTGCAAAAACTTTGAGTTAGCATTTCATTTGCATCCACCAGAGGGAAGTTGTTTTTCTTTAGGGTTTCCCCATTTATTACAGTCCTATGGATTTATCTTGTAACACCTGTTAGCATTTTAAAAAAAAAAGGTTGCTGTCAAGATGCCCCTCTGTATTTCTTGGTAAGACTGAGTAAGACCAAACAAACTGTGTTCGTTTGCTTTAAAACTGGCCAATTAGGAAAGAGTGGTTTGTAGTAGGCTGCCTTGGTAATTCACTGTGGTCATGTGTAATTAGCCAAAAAGAAAAAACAATAATAAAAAAAACATAGCTGCAAACCCCCAACCCAGTTGAATCTAGTTACACAGTGATTTATTATGATGACTGGCTTCAATCAAAATGAAATGGTTGGCACTGTGTCGCATAAAGACATAAAAACACTTCCCGGAGTAAGTAAATTTATGTTTTTCTCTCTTTCATACTCCCCAACACATTCTGAGTGCTTGTGCACCGATAGGCAGAGCTCCAGTTTCCCCCTCTCTGTCCCCTGTCCTCAGTGGGCAGCCTGCCAATGTGTGTGCCCAGTTAACAGCACAGTGCTGGGAACCCCAAGGCCCCAAGCAGGTGTCAACCTCCCTGCCCGGCCAAAGGAGCTGAGAGGGGAACACAAAGGGCTCAAAGAGACCTGCCAGCATGGTAACCGTCTTAAATATCCCAGGCCAGTGTGGCCACTCCTCTAAATCTCTCAGCAGCATAGGGTAGCTGCCAATATGCTCTTTCGGCTACTGTAACACTGACTCAAAGGGGTTTGGAGCTTTTTTTTTTTTTTTTAAAGCTTTGCCCTAAATGGGGTTCGGAGTGGTAAGACTGATGGAGGGCATCAGGAGTGCAGATAGTAGGATGAGTCATGTTTGAGGCTTTTATTTATCAGTGTGTGTCGATAGAGGCTTATTCAAAGGCCAAAAACGAGATAATTTTTGTCCGTCTGGGGTTTTCATCGTTGATTCAGTATTGTTATCTCGTCCATTCACACTGTGCTTGC